TGTATTGGACGCGATCTTTCGTGGGTTTGCTTTTTGATGCGTTCGTTGGCGACGAGTGCGATGGCGGCGATGGGATCGGCTGAACGCCGGCGAACTTGTTGTCGTTATAGGAGGCCATAGAGACCGGCGATGAGTGAGATTTGGCGAGCGATGACATTTGGGGCACAATGGAGGCCATCGATGAGGGCGTCGACGGCGACGACCGTATGTTTGGATTGGAGTGCATTAGAAAATTTGGTTTAATATTTGGCGCTAATTGTCCACTGATTGGCAAACCGTCCGCATCTCGGCTATGCTTTGGTGAGTATAACTGACACTTTTCGTTGGCACCGGTCGTCACCGGAGTTCTGATGCCTATACAGGAGGCGTCTATAGTAGTGGATCTATCGGCGCCCCCAGTGTTTGACAAATTCATAGTCTGAGCTGCGCTGGGGTTTACAGTTGAGTACATTTGCTGTGAACTGTCGGTCGAAATGTTATTCAATGAGTTTGAGGTCAGAAGACGTGCGATAAGAGTGCTGTCACTCGAAGATCCCTGAGATATGTCGTAAGCGTTGGACACAACCATTTGCGGCGATATATTATAAGGCGGCGCCGAATATGAGTTCAAATTATTATTGTTTTGTGCCATCATTTGTAACTTATGAACCATCGGTTGTGACGATTGCAGCGACTGTTGTTGCAATGGGTATGAGATATTAGACACGGAATTACTGCCGGAAACGCTGGAAAAGTTAGCGATCGGGTTGGGCATCGAGACGACACCCTTTCGGCGCTCTTGAGTATAGACGGGCAGAGACGACGAGCGCTCAAAGTGTGAGTTACCTCTGGAAGTGTTTATGTTTGTCATCGAGACGGCCGACGTGGGGATTGGCATCTGCGGCAGCACTTGGATGCCGAGTCCGTCTCGATTTATATGTGGCGTCGATATACTCCGTTCGCGTCTTTGCTTATTCGTCAAAGCCTTGGGAGCAATGAATTTCTGGTTATTGGCGTCAATGGCAGAGGCAGTGGTCTTTGACACGGAGTTCATGTACTTCTTGCGGATGGGACTCTTCACGGAGTAGTGTTGGGGAACAGGGCTTACGGGGTGTGGAGAATACGAGGTATGGTTTGTTTGAGCAAATTCTGGAGGCATAGGTCCGCGGCTTTTCGTGTGAAGGGCCGGTTGGCTGCGATTCAAAGGCACTGTGTTTTGTGTACCAAACGCTTGCGACCCGAGTTGAGTGTACATCGAGTCCAGCATTGGTTTCGATTGCATTGATTGCATGTTTTGAATGGCAGTCAAGTCGTTCAAACTCAACGACTGTATGGGACCCTGGGATAGGGGTTGGGATAGGGGTTGGGATAAGGGCTGGGATGGCATGGGATCCAGTTTGAACGACACGTGCATTTCCGGATTCATTTGCGGTTGAGCTGAGGTCTGTCCCATGGATTGCCTCAAACTCTTGCCAACGGAATAGCCGGACATTTGAGACGAACCGACCGATGGGTTCGTTTGACACAGAAGTGAATTCAACAAATCTGAAGACGACATCTCAGAGATCTATTGGACGCAACAAATCGTAAAACAATGTTAACACGAAAATAATGACACAAATTATCTCATATCTGACCGATTGGTTAATCTTTGAGTTTTGTTGACCGACAATAACATTGTTATCAATGTTTGTCTCTTCGGGTAATGTCGGCAATGAAGACATGTTTTTCGAAGAGAATAATAGTTCTGTGAATAAGAATAGAAATTTGAATTGCATTTACAAATCGTTACAAATTAATGAACACAAACCTTGTAAGGGCTCAAATGTATCCATGAAATCATCCAGGTTAGGCTGCAATTGCACGAGTCCCGGCTGCATAAACTCAGCGCCCATTCCACTCCGGGCTGTCGTCCAAAACAAATGACACCAATTAACAAATAATGGTTTAAAAATGTTATTTGAAAAATACAAACCTATTTCTCTGGGATTTGGAAAATCAATAAGATTTGGTTGAAGTAATTGACTAAACAATGAATCCGTAAAATCCATGGTATAGTCATCGGAAGCGCATTCCGACATACTATTGAAACTCGTAAAACAGTTCTCCCAATCAAACGACATCTGAACACAAATTAAGCGCAAAATAGTATAAATACATTCAAAATATGAGATCAATTATACGCACATTAGGACGTGAGGGTGTTTCGGGTCGACCACCTTTTCTGTGACTATGATATAGACGCCACTTATTATACTCAGCGGTGACGGCCGCCATACGCCTTTTCCAGTACTTTCCCTCCATTATGACCGCTTCCACCTTCTTATGGCGATCGCTGTCCACCGGCGAAGAGAATTGACAAACAACTGGATTACGTCCGGCAATGTCTGCAATGGGAATAAGCACGTGAAATGCACTGAAGTGTCGGTGCCACGAGTGGTGCCATACACTGTATATGCCAGGCCCTCCATATGATGTTATTGAGCCGAATCTTATCCTTGAGCTTCAGCTTCAGGCCTTTGAATGACTTCCAACGCGGAGACGTAATCTTTCCGCTGTAGGCCAGACTCATGCACTCAAACAGTTTGGTGAGCGAGCCGTCGATGGACACAGTGTTCGCATACTGGGGTCCGTACAGATAGGTGTGAGTGGTTTCCATGCAATTGGTCTCCAAATCATATTTGCTGAGGACGTCCGACGACTCGATCGGCCGCTCGTAGTCCTCCAACTCCTGGGACTCGTTGGCCGGCTGTTCGACGGCCTGTTCGCTCTCATCGATCTCGGACACCATGAACTGACCGGAGTGTATGGTCTCACTCGCGGATATCTTCCTCTGCGGCGGCGACCCATTCGATGAGTTCGACGCCATTCCCATCGGATCCATCTGTGCGTTACTCTGCGGGCCGCCCATCGACGCCATCATATCTTGAAATCCAAATCCACTCATCATTGTAGCCATACTTAGCATGAATGCTATCTCTAGGAAATAACATTACAATTATATTTTTACTCGTTTTTTGTTAATCCAATTCATTATTTTCTAATCAATAATCGATATTATAATTCAAATACACTTATCGCTAAAACTAACTGATTGTATGCAAACATTTGCAATATTTTCATTTCAGTCTCGAGTCTGTTTCCAAAAATACAATTTACTTTACTCTCAAAAATCAATGAATTGTTTTTCTAATAGATATTATTTCTAAATATACACTTTATATTTCTAAATATAAACTTAACTCTAATAAAGTACTGATTTATAGGCAATGAAATATATAAAACATATTTAGCATGGCTTAAAATCAAATTTAAAATGGGATTTACAGTATAATAAATCTACGTATATAGTAAATTTTATAAATAGTATTTTAATTTCACTCACGGTTTTGAATGTTTTAAAAACAATATTTTAATCACACTGTATTTAATTACAATATTTTATTGTCAAACAGTTGTCAATCGAAAGGTATACTGTGTTAAACACAATACAATGTAAATAAACAAAACTTGAAATTTAGACATTAATTTAATGGAAATAACAAAAGTGTTGATTTACAGCCGTATATGATTCACATATTAATATCAATAATAATTACACTTAAGATATATATGAATAGCTGTATTGAATGCAAGGCTCACTTGATTAGCAAATCAAGACATGAGAGCGGATTAGATAAGAGATTCAGTCATTCATTTGATTCCCAATTCTAATCGATTTAGCGATTAATTTATTTACTAATCGATAGGAAAATGAATGCAAGGCTCACTTGATTAGCAAATCAAGACATGAGAGCGGATTAGATAAGAGATTCAGTCATTCATTTGATTCCCAATTCTAATCGATTTAGCGATTAATTTATTTACTAATCGATAGGAAAATTCACAATTCACCACAAATATTATACTGAATATTCATATATTTATCATGTCTAAAAACATATTTAATTTAATTTAATTTCAGAATAACAACTTTAACGAGTAATTCATTTTCACATTAAACTAAAGTATATATATTAAGTAGGCTATTCTCGATGCAAGGAATAATTTATTTATGTTAACAGTAATGTTAAATCAATCATATTAATCATAATAAAAATAGTTATTAATTTTAATTTCAATAATAATTTCAAAATTAAAGTCTGTCATAAGTCTTTTATAGATTAGTGAACTAAAATGCGCCAAAAAAATGCATTTTCAATTAAGGTCTGCGTTATTCTGGTATATATTTAGGTGCAATCAATAGCTATTAAAAGGAGTTTTGCATCAAATGATTTGTTTCTATTGATTAAGATCTTAAGACCAGACTATTGTTAATAGTATTTAATAGTTTTTTCACATTTTTTCTCTCCATACAAATAATCGATTCCTCGTCTTTGTATACATTTCTATTGCACCTCTATTTCTAAGGATTCCGTTCAATCGATACCAGAATTTCCATTTATTTCAAGTCATAAGAGTTATTCTTTAAAGTTTTAGCACGAGTTTCATTACTAGTCTTAACTAATATGTGTCATAAAAAACAAAAACTTTTATTTGTATATAAAAATTAAATATTTATTCAATATACTGTACGTGTAATTCTTAATAAAACAATTTCAAAAGTTAATATAACTACATAAGAATATGATAATGGCTAATTTAATGGTTGAGCCAAAGAATTAGTTTTGTCTAGAAAGTTATAATTGCTTTCAATCATTTATTAATAGGGAATTAATAATTAAATGTATGGCTAACTGTTTTATAGTATAATAATAGTACGATTTTTAAAGCAGATAATAAATGTTTTATCATTTGTAAGTATACGAGTACTAGAGTACAATATAGAGGAAAAAGTCCTCGGATAGAGAAATGTTCTACAAGCCTTTTCAATACAAAATACTGTATATACACAGATTAATTGATAATAAATGTTTTATCATTTGTAAGTATACGAGTACTAGAGTACAATATAGAGGAAAAAGTCCTCGGATAGAGAAATGTTCTACAAGCCTTTTCAATACAAAATACTGTATATACACAGATTAATTGATATTGATTGATTAAAATATAAAATTGAGCGGTAAGGGATGATTCACATATTACGTTCTCACTTGGTGGAGGGGGGTCAACCCAAGCGAACTTTGCGAACGAGAGGGGGGAGGGGGTTGAGGTTTATGAAATATTTTAAAGTGAAAATAATTTTATAAAAACATTTTTAACATGAACACCTTGATCACTATTTCTAGAATTACTGTCGATTCTATGTTTATAATTAATGATTTAAATAATTGGTTTAATTTTAATTAAATTATATATAAATTTAGTAGTATTTGATCTCTTAGGGGTGGGGGGTTAGGGGCATGCGAACGTAATTTTCTAAAATGGTTACTTGCGAACAAAGGGGGGGAGGGGGTCAAGATTTCTCAAAAAGTGCGAACGTAAAATGTGAATGATGCCTAAAGCTTTTGTTTTATGCAAGTGTTTATATTTGTTTAAAATCTTATCAACTTAAAAAGTTTATAAATTATAATTGTGGCTATTTCTCTATTCGCGGACTTAATCCTCGCTCTGGATTAAGATTAATTGTATGTTAAACTGAACATTATATGAGATTACTGTGAAGTGGGTATAATTGTATTAAGTCAAGCGAAGTCAAGTCATGCGAATGATCAGG